TCTGGACTCTTACGATCGATAATTGCTGACGCTCTCGATCAGCTGATTCCTGCCGCATTTTCGCAGCATTTTTGCTAGATTCAGCTTGTTGAAGCTGAAATTTTTCGACTTTCGACTTCAGTGATTGAAGGTGAGTATTCTTACTGAAACTATCGCATAAAAGAAATAAGGACATTCAAGAAAAAATTCGAGAACTTGCGAAACAGAAGGTGAAACAAGTTTTCTAGGGAAATTTCGTGATAAACTCATGCAAAATGAGAAATAATTTCAGTACGAATACTCACCTTCAAACATTGAAATCGAAAGTCGGAAAATTTCAGCTTTAACGAGCTGAATCTGGCAAAAAGCTGCGAAAATGCGACAGGAATCAGCTGTCGAAGAGCGATTATTGATCGGCGAGAGTGCAGAAAGGAAGAGTGAGTAGATTGTGTGGCGGTGTGTGTAGATGGCGAGAGATCAGATATCATAGAGGCAGAGGAAGTTTTTGCGCTTTCCAACAATAGCACTATGGTGCCGCTCGCACAGCGGGCTTTAGGACCGCCACCGTCCGCTGAAAATGCACACTCATGGTAAGTTCCAGAGTCACTGTCTGGCTGCAATGTTAGGAGAGGACTCTGCTTACCGGCTTTCTTCACACAGCCAAACACGCGACGTTGCGCGCCGCAATGATGTTCCCTCGGAAGCGATTGACTGAATGAGACCACTCTTCTGGCGTTAGAACAGCGCAGGCAATCACGGTCCAGTTATAGTGTAATTCGCCACGGACGGTTGGATCGGTCAGCGATATATGGCGAGGTTCCACAAACCGTTCCCCAATTGTTAAAGCAAGCAAATGATATGACTGTCTCATATCGTTCGTATTACTCTTTTTCTGCCACTTTTTGTCGCATGCGCGCTCAACAAGAAGGCAGAGAATGGCTTTAACGAGGGGACACACTCATACTGCACAAGTCACCATTCTGTTCCGCAGCGAAAACTAGAGTGAAACCGCATCCTACTTTTTTGAACTATCAGGTTCTAGTTGAAAACTCACTCTTTCGACATATCCATCACCAACGCGTTGTCGTAGAGCCAATAGAACTGTTCTAACAAATCAGAAGCTTTACGACCACATTCAAATGGAAGATAGAACATGTCCACCAACAACGATACTTGATCAACGTTTCTTGCCATCAGTCTAAACATCACACCCAAAAACTCGACAAGAAAAAATAACATTACGCGCGTGGGCGATTTGCTAACATAACCCATGCACATCGCATGCATAACATCGTCACGTTTCGGCTGTTAATGAATCCTCCGCAGAGATCTCATCCTGAACAACTGATGCAGACAAAACAAAGTAAACTACAAATAACAGCAATTAGCAATGGCACGGATGTACTGAGAGCTTCAAAGGAACAGAGAGGAAACTACTTTGGAGCTCACAGGAAACGATAAACGAAGATGGGCACCATTCCGAAAATAACAGCACCCTTACAAATTGAGCCTAAGCCACCCCCTTGCTTCGACGTGCACCTCTTGAATTTTACAATTTACCGATTTTCATTTCTTCCCTACGTTAGTCCGCGTCGTCGCAGGTCGCTGATTCTGTTAACGTCGCCATTTTCCGACTATCTGTCATCTTCTGCTGGCTTTCACTCAGTGGGTCCCTCTTGATGACGTCCCTCCATCTTTTCTTTGGGGCTCCTCGTGGTCGCTTGCCCTCTATTTCGAGTTCCAATGCCTTCCTTATTGGGTGGTCTTCGGGCCTCCTCAGTACATTGACCGTACCATCGCAGTCGCTGCTCGTTGCTTCATTGATAGAGCGTCTGTGTGAGCCTGCTCTGAGTCTTCGGTTTCTGAATCTGTCGATGTGTAAGCCGCAGCCATCTCACATCCTCATTTCAGGACTGAGTGGAGCTGCTTCATGTTTTCTGTTGCAGATAGTCAAGCATCGCTGCCGTAGTAGCATTGTAGGCCTTATACGCCGTACTACCTTGCTTGAGCGTTCGAGGCAGAGCCGTCGACAGGATGCCAGTGGACTCCCTCCATTAGTCAGGCTGCGTTGATTCGGCATCACGGCTGTCCACTGCGCCTCAGCTGCTAGGGTTTCTCTCTCCCCAGTACTGGAAATCCTCGACCCTTTCGATTCTCGCCACGGCGATCTACGATGACTTCGGCGCACTCTTCGGAGCTTAGGAACTTGGTCTTCTTTACGTTCAGCCGTCCATTTCGCTAGCGAGTACATCCCTGCCACCTGCTCTGCAGCCTTGTCCTGAAGTTCCTCCTGCTGTCCGCTATCAGGGCGATGTCGTCAGCATAGAGGATGGTTTTCAGCGGTCCCTCCATGAGTTCTTTTGCCATGACATCTAGAGTCAGGAGGAAGAGGAACGGGCTGAGGGCTGACCCTTGGTGTACCCCAACCGTAATGTTTACCTCCTCTGTCAAGCCGTGAGGGTGCGTACAGCTGCTCTAGCCCCATCGTACATGTCCTTCACTATGGAGATGAGGTGTTCCGGAGTTACGTTCTCTGAGCGTCTCAAATGTAAAGGCCTTGCAGGCGGTCAATGCTTCTAAGGTCAGAAGGAATCCAGGTAGCATGGTTCGCGCTTTCTCCGTACTATCTCATCACAGCTGTCTGCGATGAAGAGCATGGTGATGGACCTTCGGGCATGAATAGCCGAACTAGTTCTGAGATAGGGACAAGTTCCCTCAGCCTAGTGTTGACCAGGCGCTCGTACAGCTTCATGGTATGGGGAGTCAGCTTGATCCCGCGGTAGTTGGAGCACTCCGTCGCGTCCCCTTTTTGTTTTGAAGATGAAGATTGTGCTGTCTCACCATTTGGCATCTTCCCTTCAGCTGTTACGTTGTTAGAACTGCGTGAGCCACTCACCATGTCTCGGCAAGGGCTTCCATGCTCTATCGGTACACCGTCGGACGTCTGGGACCCAACTGTTTCCCAGCTTTCATTCTCCTAGCTCAGGCGAACTTCATCCTTCGTCAAAGTGATGTCGTGCGTCGCCTCTATCTGTGGGTATGCCTTGCGAAGGAATTCTTCGTTCAGAGCCCTCGACATATTCCTCCACCCTTTCCTGACTTCGATCTGGTATTCCTAAAATGGCCCCGTTGCTGCCTTCCGTCTTACACTGATGTCCTGAGCTGCGCGATGCCGAGCTTTAGCCAGGCGGAAGACGAACTTGTCCCCTTCTCTGCCTTCCAGCTTGTCGTACAGGGCGTCCATTTCCGTATTCTTGGCCTTAGCAACGGCCGCCTTAGCGAGTCGCTTGCAGCTCTTGTAGGCAGCGTAGTCTTCTGGGCTCCGTGTCTTTTGCCAGCGTTTGTATGCTTCTTCTCTTGAGATTCTTGGACTTCCTGTTCCAAGAACCAGGCTGCCCTTGTTTCTCTCTATACCACCTCGCGTCTCTCCGGACCCCTTGCTACACTGTAGATGACCTCTGTTGCGTAGGTCCAGGTGTCCTGGACTGGCCCATGTGGGTCTGGGAGCCCAGCCTCAGTATTCTTCGGCCGAGGCTATCCTTTTCTACCCTGCCCATTTTCCACCACCGAATTCTTCGCTCTGCTCTGACCCTTGTCTTCTTGGGGAGGTCTATGCGATATCTGCCAGGAGAGGCCTGTGCTGAGGGCCCAGCTCTTCCCCAGGCAGTACCTTGATATCCTTGACGGTTTTGAGAGACGATCTTCTGACCAGGACATGGTCGATTTCCGTTTGTCTCCCTCCACTGCTGTAGGTTACCTTTTGGGTCCTCCTTTTCGCGAAGAAGGTGCTGCAGATTGCTAAGTCGTGGGCTGTTGCTTAGGTCAAGGATTCGTCCGCCGATTCTCAGCGTTCTTTGGTCCCTCCCCTATTCTTCCTACGTCAACTCTTCTAGATGCGCTTCTGTCTCTCCAAATGACATATCAGATCTCCAGCTATGGTGAGAATAGTCCTCTTCGGAACGATTGTATGGCGTTGTCCAGGGTCAAGTAGTACTCAATCTTTCGGTTTTCAGAGACAACCGGATTGTGGTGCGTACACGGTCAATACTGTCCAGTACCCCTCCTTCGTGTCCATTCTCACTCCCATGATCCGGTCACTGATCCTGTTCACAGTGAGACGCAGTCCTTGAGGGATTCTGCCACCGCTATGGCACGCCATATTACGTTGGTTCTTGCTCCTTGTAGAAGAGTTTTGACAAGCTTCTCCAACTTAGCGGGCTTCGCACCCTTCATCGCGTTTCCTAGCGCATAGACTTGGATATTTCTTGTCGTCTCATGAGTCGGCTATACTCTCACGAACTTCCGTAAGCGACCCCAAGTTCAGGTTCCAATTCGACCTAGCTTCTTTTGGCCGAGGCGTTCAACGATCACTCGGTAACCTCGCATACTGACAAGAACGGGGCGAGCTTCTGTCGCGATTACTTCCGGTGACGTCCTAGCTTTTACACTGATTCTATTGCGACTTGTCATGGTTGTTGTGACGGGTTCCTCCATCAGCCGGCCTGTCAACCTGGGCCTGACGCTGGTATCGTCCCCATTTTTGCAATTTTTGCAAGGCAGGTTTGTGCCTCGGCAGGGATCGAACTCGTGGCTCAGAGTGAGATTATGAGTCTACACTCTTAACCACTCGACTAACCCTCTTTTATAGCGATTTTTCAATATAAGCAATTAATTTTCGTTTTTAGTCATTTTTCTTCGGTGTTCAGTAACTAATCTCACAACCCAACTTCGCTGTATTTTGACTCTCTTCTCCTCAGCCAGGCTCCCATGTCCGCTTCTGAGTTCTAGTGTACACAGAGCATGGAACATTAGCCCGAATTTTCGTCCTAGCATGTCTTCTTTCATAAAGACTTTTTTCCTCTAGTTATCGTACAATAAAAAAAGAAAAGTAAAAAATGCACTAGACTATCATTACTAAAAAGTAATATAAAAGGGTAAAGCAAGTACATTGACCTCAAAAAGAAGCAGTGAAAAAACGTGAAAAGCAAACCTTTTTCGAAGGAGCGGAAGTTTCCATTGGCTCACCATAATCGGCAGTTAAGGAATTGACTTGTAGGTTCTTCATCAATCGCTTAAATTGTAATTTTGATTTGAATTGGTAGGAAGGTAATACGTTCAATGGAAAGGACACCTACCGAAGGAATTACGACTGATTTTAAGATTTCTTCCAGTTGCGTGGCTGATTCTTGAGATAATGGAGTTCACTGAAGCAGGTTTATATCAAATAATTACGAGCTTTTCGAGAATATGTACGAACTTTTCGAAACGAATTGAAAGAGAAACTAACGCTCGTGCATGACCGCAGCATCTCCTGTGCTACACGTCGTTTCCACCTTGCTTTCAGAGCGCGAAAGTCTGCAACACTGCCATTTTAGGGACGATAGAGGGACCTGCGACTATGGCCGGAGGCACATTTCTTACTGTTATTCGGCAACACAGAAAAAATAAGGAGGTGGTGTAATGGCAAGGCGCGCATACCGCGCGCGCGGTCTGAGTTCAAACCCCGTATCGGCTCCTGCCCAGGCAAGCGTGGCTAGGCCACATCGCATTCAATAAGCCACTACGATTCTGAATGGAAGTAGAATGCGTGCCGCATCCCACAAAGGGATTGATCAACGGCGAAGACTTTATCCTTGAAGAATAAATGCCTAAGAGAGTCACCGAAATTATTTCAGCAAGCAGCGGAGCGCGGAGCTGATTTCTGAGAAGGGGCGCAAAGGGTTCTCATGGATTACAGCCGATTTCAGCTTACAGAGAACATAGCAAAGGCGAGAAAAACAAAACTCACGGGGGAACAGGATGGTTACTGACACAGTTAAACTCTTCAGTCCATAACGCAACAGCTTTCTGTAGAGATTGCGAAGGATCGTAGATTCGTGAAGGAACACAACTATCATCACCTGTATCAGACACGCATTTTTCTTCGCCGTTATTTTTTGGACCTGAAAAAGAGCTTATGTAGCAGACGCTTCTTCTAATCATATTTTCTTCAAATGCCACGATATCCTGTGTATGTAGGCGTATTCTGGGAACGAAAACCATCCCACAATCTGAATCGGGCGCTGATATATTGGAGGGGGAATACTGCAAGGAATTCTACCTAAGCCTAAACGGGAAGGACCTCTGAAGTGGGTGAACCAAACTGAAGCAGAATTCTTTTATTCGGATGAAAATGCAGTCGCTAGTTACATCTCTGAATGATTCCATCAGACAATAAAACCATGGCCGCGCTCTAAACTGATGCTGAACCTCAATAGAATACGGAGAACTTCCACCCGAAAATCTGCAGAGTCTTATTCTGATTAGCAAACTTGGAAAGGGCTACATAATTCCCCCTCCGTAACCACAACATGTCAACGTGCATGGCGTCACTGTGTCCTTTCCCCTAACCAAGGCTTAGGCCAGAGTTCAGACGTACCGAATCGGCGCGAGCTGTCATGCAGTGCAGACAGTCTTCGTGCGACTTTGGTCGTCTGCACACCAAGCTTGAGCCTTGGTTAGGAGAAGGGATGCAGAGACGCTGCCGTATGACCCAACTCAACTACGTTTTTGCGTAAAACACTCGGGGCATAAAAACTTATGACGGTCATTTTCTAGAGATAGGGATTTTGAGGTGGGCGGGGGATTCACAAGACTTGTGCAAAGCCGGGATTCCACGATGGAGATGATGACCTCGGCCAAAGCCTGAACGGTGAGGAGCTCCGAGGGGAGTGAGCCCAATTAAGAGCGGCAAATTGTTTCGGATGACCTGAATCTCAGTCGCACAAGAAGTCTTTAAAATACCTCTGCAAAAGTTACTAGCGCAATGTAGTGGCCTTCTAAGCACGCAAAAGAGAACACGCTAACCAATCAACAAACAGTCGTCATTGCTTGCGTTCCAGTCGGCGAATGTGAGCAACGGGACGAAGTTCAACTCGTATTTGCAGCTTGGATTCATCAATATCCCTGCAGTCTCTTTTTTGAGGGCAACTGGTCGACCTGGAATTTCGAAAAATTGAACAAACAGAACAGGCAACAGAACTCAAACCGGTCTCACCTGAAAATTCACCCATGAAAACTCGTTTCTGATCGTAGTCATTCGCATGAAGGTTGTCCCAAATAAGCGGACGACGACGAAGGATTTTGGAAACATTTCGAATATGTTCAACAGTGATATTTCGAGAAATAACGCGGGGACCTGTCAGTAGAAAAGAAAACTGAATGAAATTGCACAGCAAGAAAATACTCTCAAAAATGTACCTGTCCATAGAATATGTACATCACTGATTAGCTCTTCTCCTAATGTCGCTAGATATTCAGAATGTTCTAGTGATGGCACTGCTCTGCTTTCACAATATTCTGAAAAAAAGCCATAAAAACAATGAAAACTTCAAAAATGTGCTTTCTACCTGTTGGGCAAAAGAAAAACTGGGGGCGTCCTAGATACTCGTAGACCTCGTTGGTGACGGCAACCTAAACGGTTCCATACAGAAAAACATATAACATTATCTTGAAAAAATTTTGTTAATGAAAAAAATACTATAAGAAGCTTAGAGCGCTTTCACACTTTGCGATCAGATCGCGCTTCTGTAATGCGGTTGAACACTGCCGTTCAGAGTAACGAAGAACAACAGCTTAACAGCCGGTTGAATCTACCCAAAACTTCATAGATCTGATATTACGGTAGGCGGAATATTGGGATGAAGCTAGGATAGGTTTCCAAAACAGCTACGCGCAAGTGGACCACACATCCCCTTTCAACAGGTCCTATCAACGATCTAACTTTTTTTTCTATTTTCAGCGATGAGATCGGAGGTGACGTAGTGACGCTTACCGCGCGCCCCGCACGGAGCAACTTGGCTCGATTCAGCTGAGGTCAACCAAGCCTTCTATCCTCAAGAAACGGTTAATTAGATTCGTCTAGGAGGACAACAAGACTAACTCTTACATCGGCTGGCCCCCGCAAGTCATTGTATAGGCCACATAACATCTAATCATACTACGTTTGAGTGGAATATACTCCTTATCCCTGAGACGGGGTAGGCGTGGCATTCGAACATGGCACAGAACTGGTTACTCGTGGGATATTTCAATTTGAGACAACCGCCATCTTGTTCTTTCAAAATGAAAATATCTCTCCAAAAGCACAGCCACCACGGCATCAAGTTGAGTACGCAGCCACGCCCACCTCATCTCAGGAATTTCGAGTGTAGAATGCAAGCCGTAACCGAAAAAAGGATCGATAGGCGAAGACATTATTCATTCACCCTTACTTTTTCTTGTCGCGATGTTGGCCTTGTTTGTCTTGTCTTTCCTTCCCTGGTCTTTCTGGGCCTAAAACGCAGAGCCTGCCATTGCCGCTCGCTGGCAGTGTTCAACAGGAACGTCAAGGTACTGAATAATTCAGCAGCGAGAGGAGAAGCAAAAGAAATCCTCGAAGACGCTCCAAATGACGCTCTTATCGATTTCAACCATTACTGGAGCACACAGTGAAGAGGGACAAAAAAAGAAAAAGACAATGGTGTAGCCATCGACAACCCACAGCTATATGGCGATGGTAAAACGAAATGAAAATGGAGAAAGACTGAGAGGGAGGAGACTACTTATTGGGACAGAACCATAACACTCTTATTAAAGGCAGCGTCCGCGATCAACCAAAGTGAAAAAACCCTCCAATGAAAACGAACGCGGAGTACGCAACCACAGCGGAAATCCCACTCTTGCGGCTCGAAATCGATTGGTTGACGAGGGCGGAGTCAACAAGGCTGAGCTGACGCCTCCTTCCCTGTTAATCCCGCCCCGACTGGTTAACAGTTATCAGTGCTTGCTGGCATTGATAAACGCTAAGTTTCTGGAGTTCCGAGCCGGCGACGTGTATTGGAGAACTCACCAAAGGTCTGCGAAACTCGTCCACATGCCTTAAATTTCGTAGGGTCTTATTTCACGCTCTTCCACACCTTTTTCCTACTTTTTTTGATTAGTGCTTCATTGGCCACCTGTTCTAACAAATTTGACCCCTGAGACCTGCCAAAGTCCATCGCGGGCGCTGTCTTTAAGCACTTTCAAACCGCGGCGGTGGTATATACCCTGCGACTGCGGCCCGTACTTCATCCAAAGAAGGGTTTCTGTACTACAGTAACTTCTCGGACTCTATCTTCCAGAGTGATGGTGCGGCTCTTCTAGGACAGACAGTATAGGCGGCTCTGACCGCCTGCACTCTAGATCTATGCCTTTGTTAGAGGGAGGGATGCAGAGACGCTTAGAGTGCACCTCCCCCCCCCTCTATAGGCTGGCGCTGATTACTTTGTAACAACATGGGCAACAAAAACCGCTATAAAGCGAGTGCGGCAGTGAGGGGGCGCAATTAGCAGTTTTTCGAAGAAAAAAATAAATGAAAGTGATTGAAAGAAAACTCGGGAATACCTGAGCGGAAACAAAAGAACTAAAGCATTCTCTATCCGTTTCGTTCATTTCACACTCGATGTCATCAAAAAGAAGAGCAAACGACTCGCAACCAAGCATGCGAACCTAAAAATTGTCACATAATTAGGTCATAACTTCTCTCATCTTGAAACCTCGGCATAGTTCATTATCAAGTAGAAAATCAACCAGTATCAAATTGTGCAATTCTCAAGCTTTGAGTCACGCTCAGGCCTTTGAAAACGACGTTAGCCGAACAAGGATCTCACAAAAAAACCTCGTGGAAGAAACAGAAGATCAAAACGATGTCATTTACTTCAAGGGTTCCGACGTCTGCTGCCACCGTATGAGAAGCTCATTCTCAGCCTTAGATTTCCGGCAGAATTCTTAGTCAGACGAAAGAACAACCGATTAATGCGGCATTGAATCAGCATCGAGAAATCAAGCACAGTATCCCACTAGATCAACCATATATTTCTTAGACTTCACACGTGGACAGTAGTGACCTTCTTGAGGGTCTTTCAGGGCACACTATCCCTGAAGGACCCTCAACAAGGGTCAGGCATCTGGCTTACTGACTTGGACATGTATGGAATGCGGAAGAAAGTTCTGGGGAAAGAATGGAGATTCCTCTCCCCGGCGTTATGAGCTCTCCCTGGAAACTGCAGTCAAGAGAATTTGAAAGAGTTGGACCAATGGAGTTTGAATGCTGGTCAGGAATATGGAAACCAAAATTGCTACATGAGTCCCAGCTGTCAAAATCGTCACATCCGTTGTAACCCTGCCCTCCCCCCAACCCATCTCAAGGGATGTGGAGCTTCAGGAATTTCGCACCAGACGGATATTCTATTCGTGTAGTCAGACGATCCTTGAGAGCCAAACTGAGATCTTACGGATTGCATATTTGCCACCAAAACGTTACATCATTGCAAAATTCCAACCCTAACTGGAGCGCAGGGTGGTGGCTTAGTTCCAGTACTTGTAGTCGAGGTTATAAACCCTGACGGAATAAGGCTCGCATTTAAAGACCCACGAGGATTTGAAACAATTTGTCGGCAAGCCATTGTTGAAAACTTCATGGTAAGTTGGAATCATTTTCTGGCTAGCATCGATTTACAGTTCAATTTACAGTTTTAACCTTCTAAGCTTCAAGCGAAATGCTTTCTAGAAATTGAATGAAAAATAGAAAATTATTACCTGGTCGAGTTTGCTCTTTATACAAATAATTTCTTCTGTTTTGGAGTAGGCGATGTCAATCCCTGGCGAAAGTGAATAAACAAATCTGATGTTGTTTGCTTTGGCTGACTCAATGAGACTTCGCAAGATGTCTGCAAAACTACGATTCATTACATACAGTTGTTATCACCGAAGTCAATGGGGGCGTGTCAGCGGTGCTAGTGTTCCTGCTGCGGCTCCGGCTTCTTTCCGCCCAGAAAAAAAGGGTGGCGTCGCACAAAAAAAAAAGAAAATAGGGTGGCGCCGCGCCAAAACTCACGAGAATTGAGAAGGTTGGTAGATAACAAGGGGATTGGGTTGTAGCAGCGGAAACTTTGGGGGAGGGGGGGGGTCGCATTTCGCAAAGTTTTTGTCCAACGGCAGGATGTGCGATTTCTCTGTTACAGGGATCCCAGACCACGTGCAAGACCACTAAAGGCCTCCCCTAAAATATTATTAGCGCCAGAAAGTATCTGTTACGGTTTCTAATACCGTGGGTTCTCTACAAAATGCCCCAAGTTCTGGGAATAGGGCCCAAGGGCGTCATATATCCTGGCCAGGCCAGAAGGATAAGAGTTGAAAGCTGACCTGCTTCCTCGCTATTGTAGGGTATTCTCCATTGTGGGCGATGTTTGAGATCATCTTTTGGTGCGTAAACATAAGTGTTCAGTCCCAACCGGTTGAGTCTCGCAAACAAGTGCTTCCTTTGCTCGAAAGTCCATGGCCTTCCGTAGAACCCTGACAAATTTGGGCAATATTATAGAAAATAACGCTCGTACAAACACTGAACCATCGGAGTTTACCGTTTCAGGCTTAAAAGCTGGGCTTAACTTCTACATCGGACATACCTTCTACAACTCCACTGATGAATTCTTCCCGAGAAGGAGACGGGAAATCGCATCTAAAATAAACGACTTCAGCAGTTTAATTGACTTTGATCTAGGATTGATTGGCATGAAGTTCCACACTTTGCACTCGTTGAATGC